AGAAAATTGGCAAGTGCAGATTATAGTGGACAACATTCAGTTGTGGAGCAGAGCAAGAGGGAAAAATGAATATTGCCTATAAATTAGATTCTTGGCAATGGCATAAACTGGCTTTGGTCAGGTGACCCTGTTTAAGAAAAACCTGAGTACATACTGCAATATAAGGGCATGATACACTGTTCCACATGTATGTAGGACTCCCAGGGAAGCTCCTGACTGGAAACTGATGGCAGGCTGAGGCTCTTGAGGGTTTAAAGATTTTATAGATTAACACATATATGCAAGAATAACTGTACAGGAAACTTTCCCCTCTAACCTGAATCAAAATGTCATTATTCCATTTCTTTATGTATTATTAACCATATATAAAGAACAACTCTAGGCGAGGTTGTGAAAAGCCTTTGTCTGCAATGCTACTAGTATACTAAACATACCAAGCTAAACCTCTCTTTTTTAGCAGACACAATCAATACTTTCACCTAGATGTGACCATGTCAGAGAAACATATATGAATTAAAAACAGCTGACTGACTCAATCCAGATAAGAGATAATACACAACGAGAGAGAGGAGACCTCTGAGGAGCTGGGTGGGACAATGTCCTCATCCTCCACTTTCCAGTCACCAAGGTAACGTGGAAGTCCTGAGGTTCTCTTGGACTCAACATTGCTCCTGGATACTCATATAGCAACAATGAAGAGAAATGCCTTCTTTCAAATTCAGCTACTCAGAAGTGTGTGCTCATTCCTCTCAGACAGAGACCCAGCCATTGATCCGGGCTTTTGTCACTTCCAGGTTCGATGCAGCACATCCTATCCTTGGCTAACTATTGAGGTTCACGTGGGAAACCTCCACTGGGGCAACACATAGGAGCCCACCTTTTAATAATAATTTTTAAAAAAGCACATCACACCGTGCTCCAATAACTTCCCCATTACATTTCAGATCCACTTCAAGGTCCTGCCCCTACAGTTGCCTTAGACCCTTACCTAAGACTCAGCTCATGATCTCCATCCCGGACACAGCTCTACTTTATGATGACAAAAGCTGAAAGATCCTATGGTGAACTTTTGCAAGCAAGGGGCAGTGCAACTCTTTACCGTTAGAGAGGATGACTAGCTCAAACCTGGCCAATTTTAGAGCACAATGTAAGAACCATCATTTTGTCCTCTCAGAAACAATGGTGGAAGAATGACTAGTCAACATCTTTCATTGGGGAAGATGAAAAATATTAACTAACAACGGTGGACACTTTATGGACACAACTACTGCAACTGTAAATTTTGTAACTCGCATCTAGATACCATGATGATGAGTTCATTAGAAATGCAAAGATAAGGAAAATAAGATATTCTGATAACTACAGGTATCAAAATCTGACCACACTTTGACAATATAACAACTCTGAATAGAGAGAATAAAAGCTATAATCAAATCCTTCAGCCACAGTTTTCACAGCAAAAAGATTTTTAAGGTAAAATGAATTTTAAAAACCCAACATGTTAACTAGAGTTAATTGAAAATTTTCATCTATTTTCATTTTCATTTGATGAACAAGTGTTTTTTTAACTATACCAAAGTTTTTGTGAGAACATTCATTTCCCCCCTTTTCCTTCTTGCCACTAGAAGCAGAAAAACGGGTGGGGAGAGGAAAGAGTGGAAAAAAGGGGGGGAGGTGTGGGGGGGGAGATGAAGAGGAAAAAAGAAAAACCTTGACATTTTTGTTGCAAAGTGGCCTTAGCAGACCAGAGATCATAGCCACAAGTGCTTAAGTAAACTCTTCAGAGGGATTCCTTGTTTTTTTGTCTTTTGTTTATAGGATAACATGCTACTCCAGGGGGTGCCGGATTTCTTGCTAGCAACTGGCCACCCTGTCATTCACTAGTCTGGTAATACCCATATCAAATTCACTGTCATTGGTGCTGGACCAAGGAATCTGTGTGGGACACAAAAAATACTCTCTCAGTACTGACTGGGGTGTGTGTGTGTGTTGCTGCCTTTTAGTAGCTGGCCCAAGGACAGGATTTCGACACTCCTAGTTTTTGAAGTAGAAGGACGAGGCTCTAGCCTGAGCTCCCCAGATGTGTATGTATTTAGTAACTCTGTCTTCAGCACAGGGATTCATTACAACTGGTTTGATTCTAGAGGGTTCAAATTTTGTATCATATCAGGAGCTCATTGCAGGACTGGGGCCTAATGTATAAAGGAAAATGAATCTGATGACTACAGTCTAGCCCAGTGGTAGGCAACATGCGGCCCGTCAGGGTAATCCACTGGCAGGCCGTGAGACAGTTTGTTTACATTGACTGTCGGTAGGCACGGCCGCCCACAACTCCCATTGGCCTTGGTTCTCTGTTCCCAGCCACTGGGAGCTGAGGGAGGCCATGCCTGCAGACAGTCAATGTAAACCACTGGGCTAGCCCCGCTAGACATCTAGACTTACAGTAAAACAACTCTATTCAGTTTGGCATAATTGGTGAGCCCTACTCATGAGAGGTTCCAGACTGGAATAGCAGCAATGTGGCAGGTCAGGACTGAGGGGCCTCAGAGGAATGCTGCAGAAAAGCTTGCACAGCAGCTGTTTGTGGTCCAGAAGTTCGAGTACAGGAGTGAGTGCCAGGAACCCCCAAGTTCTAATCTCAGCTCTGACAGTAATTCCCTTTGACTCTGTTATTTAACTTTATCTGTAAAACTACGAATACACCTCTTTCCCCAGAATATTGTCAGGATTCATTCATGGCTGTAAAGTGGTGTGAAGATTAAAAGCACCATGTAAAACACATTGTGTTCTTATAACTAGAACTTTCAAACTAAATATAAAAATAAGTAGGAACAACCTTGACTTTGGTATTCTATAATTCCCCAACCAAAAACATATAACTATTCTTGTCCTGGAAGTTGTTAGGTTTGGTTATAGTTTGGTAAAATTATCAGATACTTTAGGCAGAAAGATTCATATGCAACTGTGCCCCTAGTTCATACATGCAATTACAGTCAGATGCACAAATGAGGTAACTCCATTAACAAAAAGAAAAGAAGGACTTGTGGCACCTTAGAGACTAACCGATTTATTTGAGCATAAGCTTTCGTGAGCTACAGCTCACTTAACAAAGGATCAATTGTGCACAGTTGTGTGCAATCTAAGTAATGGCATGTGCACACATCCGAACATCTAAATTGTCTGAAGACCTGCTCCTAGACGGCAACATTTAATTTGGCATGAAAAGATGGAGACTGAGAACATATTTAGATTGTGTAGTAATAGAGCGTAATTTTTTTCATCACAGTGTAAACAAGCTTAAGATGTCCAATATATGAAATGTCTTTTGGATATAACTGACTTCATTACATTAAAAAACAGACAGTTGTAACCAGTGAATTCATAATCATAAGACTGTTTTTGACTTCTCTCCAGAGCATGTAGTACCCTGGAAAAGAATGCAAACTGCAAATTAAGCCTTCAGTTACGTTCAGCAACCTGACAGACTGGCCCAAGAAATACTGCTATGTCTAGCAGATTGGAAGAGTGATGTGTTCATTGCACAGAGGTGTGAAGGATCCAGCCCACCCCAGCTCATCTCACAGAGCACAGCTGGTGAACTGTACACAAAGGGGGAAGCAAGTGGGAGGGGGAAGAAGGGGCCTGAGGTAAACTAGGAGACATCTTTGCCTTCCATCATCCCCTCCCACCCCTTCCTTCCAAGCAGTTTTCATTGCCACATCACCAGAAAAGGATTTTCAACCCATGGAGCATTCTGGGAAGTGTTGGATCAATTTGCGAAAAAATATATAAAGGGATCCAGGAGCACAAGTGAGCTTTCTCAGTGAGGTTGGGCGTCCATCACTCACCCTTGAACACAGTCATTGCAACACAAGACCATTGGAAAGCTTTCATTTGTGCTGAAGATATTAGTCATAATGATGATATTAAACAATTAGACACGTACATCATAAGCAAAATGCGGTGTCCTCTGGGGCTGCAGCCAACTGGCATATAGGACACACTGCGCAACAGCGGGTGGGAAGAGAAAATGTTGTACTGACACACTAGGGAAAATTCTGTTGACAGTCTCTTTTTTTTAAATCAGCTTCTCCCCTCAGAAAATGCTTCTTCCAACCACCTGCCCTCCTCCTCCATGTGTAGACCCTCAGACTTCCCCATCTGTTCCATTCTCCACAGAAGCTGTGTGTGAAAGGCAGAAGACAAAGGATAGAGTCAGGGAGGTGATCCTCCCAGCTGTAGGGGCACCTCATTCTTACACAGTGCTTTTTGTTGTTGTTGTTTAAAAGCAACTTTAGGAACTTTAATTAAGTATGGTTAATTAAATCTTACAACACCCTATAAGATACATTATCATTCCCATTTTACAGGCATGGTCAGTGAGACAGTAGTAACTTCACTCTCACACGGCCATGAAATGAAACAACAATCCCAAGCCAGTTTCCTGCTGACAGGGAAGGAAGAGTGAGATATATTCATTCCTATTCTTTGCTTTTGGGAGGTGCTCTGGGATGGACACTATGTCCTTCCAGTTTCTTATATTTGTGCCCACTGCCAGAGAGTGGGTCAGATTCTCAAATACAGTCTGGCCCCTTTGTGCTACTTGGTGTCTTGGTGGGAGGGGGACGCTCAACGGATGTAAAGCCAGTGAACCCAATGTTTCAGCCAGCCTCATTCCCCCCCAACCCAGGCGCAGGATGCATACTGCAGAAAGAGTTAAGAAGGGGCAGAGGAGAAAGCTCCGAATGAAACATAGGCCATGTGGCCTAAGTAGAACAGCCCCCTAGAGCAGCTCCCACCTGGACCATTGCTGGCGCAGACTGGGCCACGGAATCTGGGAATCAGTTATGGCTGCCTCCCAGCAGCTCCCCCCACCACTCTCTTACACCAAATGGAGTTTGTACACAGGGGAGCATCAGTCCTAGACAGAGCAAGAACTATGTCATTAAAGTAGCATTATTTGAAAGCACAAGTTTCTTAAATATGAAAGTGTTACGTACCATTTTCAGCTGCCCACATCGGTTGCTCAGAAGGACATTGGCTGACTGTGCTACACTGGTTCTCACAACAGGATGCGAAGGAAAAGACTTAGCTGCAACCACTGTAAAGTAACATCAAAACCTCAGTAATAATGCTCTGGGTTGAGTTAAAACCCCATTGAAATAGCTAGGTGTAAACTCATGCTTCAATTAACATGACTAAGGAAAAGCCCTCACCTAAGACAAAAAGAGCACCAGAGAGCTTTTGCTGAGTATTGTTTTGGTTAGGGGTATAGAGATATTATATATCTATATCTATATCTATCTGTGTGGAAAGCCAGAACAGACAAAAACAAAAACTGGGAATGACAGAGGGAGGGGGCGAGCAGCTGAAAGCATGCTGTCTGACTTTGGAAAAAAACATAGGGAAAGGTTTTGGGGTTAGGTGTGCAGGCTGAAATGAGTGGGTTCTTGGTGCTATGAGTAAAGGAAACTATTTCCTGCTATTTAAGTCGTTCAGAGAGACACTGAACTTTGTACATTCTTTGTAGATAAACAAAACTGCATCAAAGAAATACACAAATATCACCAATTTCTCCCCTTAACTGGAACAGCCTGCTAGTCCTAGAATTTTTAACTAGCCACTCTGGTCAACAGGGATAACAGTAATAAGAATTTCTCTCTGTGTTATAAATAATGTTGCCTCTCTCAACTGGAATGTGATTTTTTATTGTATCGACTCAATATAATCCTCCTATTTGCTCGAGTCTTTAGGATTCACTCTTTCCACTGTGACTTCAAGAGCTTGCAACTCCAATTCTAGCCTTAAAGCATGTTTATGGCAAACATAATTTCCCCAATCTTACCAGAGTAAAGGGCCAAATCACCCCCTTCTGTGGAAAAACTCACCAAAGGGAACAAAACCCTCATAAAATAGCAAAAATGCTATTTTGACACATTGAAAACCAAGCTGGGTGAACTCAGTGAAAGATGAGTGGGAGAAAAGAGAAACCAGCAGCCACGTGGAAAAGGCAAGGCCCGGGGTTTGACCTTGGAAGCATGCACCACCCAAAATTCCACGGGGAATCCTGCCTCCAATTTCATGCAGCACATGGCCTGCTGCATGTTCTCCTGGGGACACCTTAAAAATGGCAGCATGGTTAGTTCAGTGGCTGTATTATCTGATCTCCTGGTCTGTGGCTGCATAGTATTACCCATCCCTCCCACTAGAGGGTCCTAACAATGCTGCAAGATCAGTTCTACTGGGTTGTCCATTTACAAGTGAGGGTTTCACAGGGGAGCAGCCACGTAGAACATGGTCTCACAAAGGTAAGCGAAAACTAATGCATCTTCCCTGTCTATGGATTAATACCAAGCAAACCCATGACATTTTACACATTTTCCAGAACCATAAATGAATCCCTAGCTCTTGATACAATGGTCACGTACCAAAATCAGAGTCCAAGTTCACGAAAAGATTAATGAACTTCAGCCAACACACAGGGGTGATAGCTCAGTGGTTTGAGCATTGTCCTGCTAAACCCAGGGTTGCGAGTTCAATCCTTGAGGGGATTCAGATCCATTTAGGGATCTGGGGCAAAAATTGGGGATTGGTCCTCCTTCGAGCAGGGGGTTGGACTAGATGACCTCCTGAGGTCCCTTCCAACCCTGATATTCTCTGATTCTCTAGGGCAAGCTTGCCTTGCATTTTGAGTTTGTAATTAAACCTGACCTCAAGTACATTTCACCTATGCTTGGTCTTCATTTATGAATATTTCTACTCGCTTCTAGCTAATGTCATTCTAACACATTGGGATGTGGCATTTATTCTCTTCAAATTGAAAAATATTCCATTTATTTTAAAGAAAAATGTGCTATAGTCTTAGTCTCTAACACTCAAACAAACTGCAACAGTGAGACAAGTGACCCAGGGAAACCCTGCTCCAATTTAAATAGCCACATATTAGTGACAGATTAAAACTTTTGTTAGAAAATATATAAGATTATAAAACACAAACACAACCATGTCTGTTCATGTGTGTGTAAAAATGGTATTATAACCATGAATAGCAAAAGAAAAAAATGTATGAACTGACAATTGCCCATGGTAAAAAAATACAGTCGGGGTCTCATGGTCAAGTAAATAACTTTTCAATATTCACTTTTTCTTTTCACTCTCCTTGGGCAATAGAATTAAACCTCAGATTCAATTTTAATTCTAATCAATTTCTCTTTCTTTCAGTTTAAAGAGGTTTTAATATGTAAAATAAAAACCAAACGTATGTCTGAGTATTGTAGATGTACGCACACAAACATAAAACATATCGGTATATGTAAAATGTTATATAATATAGATGCTTTCTTGTTCTCACAAACAACACAAATCTGTTGCATCCTGGTTCATGGCAACTGCAGGAGAATATTTAAATAAAACTTTATAAATGAAATTTAAGACATATTCAAGAGAGTATTTTTATTTATTGGTCTCATTTTCAATGTCCGTTGCACATCTGCACCCCAAGTTTGCATGCACAATCATAAAGATTGATAGTCATTTGCCTAGGTTATGTTCATATTTGTGTGGGCTCAATTGCTATAGATTTTATATACATAAGCAGAATACAAAAATGTACCTGAACATACAAAACTTAAAAATCTAAACTGAGTAACATTAGTGCATTCCCTCAATTGTGTTTAGATGCTAAAAAATTAAGGTGGAAGAAACAGTTGGTTCTCAAGCATAAATTACCCTGTTGGGGGTTCACTGCTGTAGTTTTGTTTTCTGTAAAAATGGGATTAAATAAAGGGAAAACCTATTTATATTGTGCTTGATTCAATGCCCACAGCAGTCTATAGGAGTCTTTCCACTAACTTCAGTGGGGCTTTGGATCAGATATATGATTGTGCTCATGAGTCAGATTCTCAAAGGTTCAGTAAGAAAATGGTTGTGACAGGGATAAAAGTGATTCAAGTATAGAGTTTTCATACTCTTTGGTACCACACTTTTAGACTAGACAGAGATAGTTATTTATTACATTTACTATTTGTTATTTTTATTATAGTAGCACTCAGAGGTCCCAATAAATCAGATCCCTATTGTGCCACAAAGTAAGATTCATTCCAGATCCTCTGCTGGTATAGACTGATGAAGCTCCCTTGAAATCAGTGCATCTACACTGATTTACATCAGCTGATGATCTCTCTCTCTCTCTGACTCTCTGAGGCCAAATCCTACAAACACTTAGGTATGTGTGTAACTTTATTCATGGGAGCAGACTCATTTAGTTCAGTGGTATTACTGACATGAGTAAATTTATCCATGTGCATGTTTGCAGGATCGAGGCCTGAATCAAGACATGATGTGACAAATGGATGCAAAACAAATGGAGGGAGTGGAGGAGGACGGGCAAGGGTAACAATGAGAGAAACACATGGTCATATAGACTACCTATGAGCACAACTTGTTTGCAGTGTTGTTATAGCCGTGTTGGTCCCAGGATATTAGAGAGACAAGGTTGGTGAATGTCTTTTATTGGACCAACTTCTGTTAGTGAAAGAGATGAGTTTCTGAGCTACACTGCGCTCTTCTTCAGGTGTGGGAAAAGTCACAGCTAGCAGCAGGTTTCAATTTTTTTTAAAGAAAGGCTATAATTGTACGAATTATATTAATGATCACAATAATCTTATGTTGACTAATTATTTCCTCATTTTCCTCCCTCAAACACAAATGATTATGAATGCAATACAATATTAAAATTAGTGTTAATCCTAAAACCATCTTTTTCAAAATATGTTTTAGGCTGTTTAGGGATTCCATTTACAAAATAACATTAAGACTTCCATCTGCACACACTAGCGTTAGTGTTTCTTGTTCCTTACAATTACTAAAAACATGTTTCTTTATGAATTTTTTTGATTTTATTTTAAATTTAAATTTCTTTTTCCTTTTCTTCTTTCTAAATCCAAGATTTTTGTTATGTTACAAACATGAGAAAAGTGATATATAGTATTGATTTGAAGGGGTGAAATTTTACAACTTAGCCAGATTCTTCGCTGGAATAAATCAGCATTGTTCCATTGACTTCAATGGAGCTCTACTGGCTTACACCAATTGTGAATCGGGTCTCTTGTTTTGATGTCTTGTTAAAATCAGATTAAAAAAATAAAAAAGTAAGCTCTTAAAAGTATTCAGAAGAGACAAAGTGTGTAAGAAACCCAACTTTTTGATTTTATAGCCTGAAGTTTTTCTTTGAGCCGTGAACCGTGAGTGCCCTCTAGGATCAGTGTCCAAAAGTCTTCATAATCTTGCTGGTTCTTTAAGATTCCATGTCTAGTTAACTCATTCTGCAATCCTATAATCTTTAAAAAAGAGGAAAAAAGTGAATACAGAACTTACTATTCTGAATTCTTATGTGCAACAAAGCCAAATATAAAATTATCAAATAATGGGCCAACTCCTGTACTGGTTAATGCAGTGCATATGAGCAGAGAAGCCTTCTGATGTGCCCTTTACATTGGAGAAGCTGCTAGTGTGGACAGAATTCCTCAGTGATCCACTGGGATATAAAACTACAGTGGGACAGATCTTACTGCTCCACTAAGAAAGGCCAAAGCCCGCTTCCTCCCCCTGCATCATAGCGTATGTGCTAGCTCAGTGGTTTTCAACCTGTGGGGTCCGCAGACTATGTGTAAGATTTCTAAAGGGGTCCGACCTCCATTTGAAAGTTTTTAGAGGTTCACAACTGAAAAATGGTTGAAAACCTCTGTGCTAGCTAATGGTGATGAGGTCTAGACACAGTCCATTTTATTTTTTCAGATTATGTCCCCTTGGAGTTGTGCTGAATGGGCTGTTGCATTAGGTAAGAGTACATTCCATCAGAGAAGCGTACACTGTACAGGTATCCTGCCTAGCTGCTTGTACAGGGGAAGTGGTTCTTTGTATCTTCTATCCCCACCCATACCCCATCACTGTAGAACAAGGGGTTAAACCCTGGAACTTTAAATCTAAATCCTGTTCCTTTAATACTGGAGAAACTTCCTGGAAATCACACCAATTTAAAGATTCAGTGTCCAATAAAGATTCTCTCCAAATGGCACAGTTAGCATGTGATGATGCCATGAAGATCCTTCAACTGTAAAGTGTAGGCACATTTGTATTTTATGTCATTATAATCAGTATGCAAGTGGCAAATGTATGAAATGGAGTTGAAATAGACTTAAGTGGAGATCCTGGAATTTAATTTATTTTCTCTCTCTGGGATTTATAAAAAAAAACACCTCAGGAGCCCACCAGCTATGCCATTGTTCACACCCTAATTCAGCTCTTCTCAAACCAGTTCAAACAATCACTTTCTGTTTAAAAAGAAATACTTGTGGCACCTTAGAGACTAACCAATTTATTTGAGCATGAGCTTTCGTGAGCTACAGCTCACTTCATCGGATGCATACCGTGGAAACTGCAGCAGACTTTATATACACACAGAGAATATGAAACAATACCTCCTCCCACCCCACTGTCCTGCGGGGTGGGAGGAGGTATTGTTTCATATTCTCTGTGTATATAAAGTCTGCTGCAGTTTCCACAGCATGCATCCGATGAAGTGAGCTGTAGCTCACGAAAGCTCATGCTCAAATAAATTGGTTAGTCTCTAAGGTGCCACAAGTACTCCTTTTCTTTTTGCGAATACAGACTAACACGGCTGTTACTCTGAAACCTGTTTAAAAATAGATGTCAGTATTAAGCACTGGGAGGTGTGGACGGATGACTTCAGTTGCTTCCCCCCACCCCCACCCCCAAGCAGAGGGCATAAGACTAAAATTTGCATATATCTAAAATAAATGAATAAAATGACGAAAAATAAAATCACAGGACTTCAATTCCTTTTTCAATCATTCAATCTCAACAGAAAATACTCTTTGCATTTTCACATGTAGCTTCATGTTATTTTCCTCAGTCAGTCAGTCAGTCAGCAAAAGAGCTACACTAAACCAATTTGCCATCCATTCTGGCTGTCACATGGGAAAGCACTGGCCACAAATAAATCAAGGATCACAAGGACAAAATGCATAACATTACATGGAAATCTAACCCCCTTCCAATCAATTTGCTCCATATCACAGAACATTGACACCTTGACTGAAATAAACAAAACGTTAAGAAATCTAACATATCACCACTGCATAGATGGCTTCCAAACTTAATTTTATCACTAAGAAATTGATCCAATCCCCTGTGGCTATACACTGTTTCCCCATATAAAAATATATATACATATACTAAAGTGAAAAATCTGCATTTGAGAAAGAACTTCTAGATATGCAGATTAAGGGTTGGTTCCTAAAGAGAGGCATAGATAAGATGCATTTTCTCAAGGGTCTGTGAGTTGCTGTTTAGGGTCCATTTGTAATTCAAAAAAAAAAAAATCATTGTAGGAAGAGCAGATGACTCAGGAGAATGAGACTGGGATCTTTTCACTAGTTCTAATTCTACCCCAAGTCAATTGTGACTAAAATCAGTTACTCTTCATCAGCTGTTCTGTGGCCTCTTTTAAATTAGTAACAAGAAAAGGAGTACTTGTGGCACCTTAGAGACTAACCAACTTATTTGTTAGTAGTTTCAATCCTTTTCCTAGTGTGTAAGGGTCCATGTTACAGCTGGCACTATCCAGCACTCTTATGGGTGGTCTCAACGGGGAGGCCAAGGACTGAATGGGAATGGGGTTTGAAATATTTTGTCTTCTGCTGATCAAGTCTCCTTGGGTCAAGAGTGAAGGTATATTTGTGCGCAGTGTGGGAAAGCCCAAATTTCTGCAATCTGTACCTGCTCAGTTGATAATCAGAGGTTTTTAGTGTGCAAGGTTTTCAGCCTGGCACCTTTCAGAAGCATTAAACAGAGATTTGTGGGTGATGGTGGAAATTGTAGGCAAATGGCATTCTTAGAAAAAAAAATAGAGAAAATATTATGCATTCATTTAATATATCTAAACAGAGGTTTAGATTAGAAACAATTGCTCCAAATCCTTAAAAAAACAATATTCATAACGTTTGCTAAAACAATTCAGAAGCAATACTGAGAGCAAATCGAACTCTTGCAGCATACCAGGTAATTACTGGACTGTGGAATAGACTTGAGGTACTTAGCATCGTGAGACAATTTGCAGTAGGGCACTTGATGTCCAGGGATACACTTAAAAGAAAGATAAAGTTTTGGTCAGTATTTTTTTTCCAGTAGCTGGGAAACAAAGCACAAAACAAATGACAAGTAAACACTCAGCCACAGGAAGCCATTAACAACAGTGGGCACCAATTAGGACCCAGCAGGTATTCCTAACACCGCCTGGTGCTCTAGCTCCGCCTCAAATGCTTTGACATAACACTCACAAACTTAGGCTTAGGAAACAACAGGCTGTTTCATTTACTCAGCAATTTGTAGCCACATATTCCTGCTGATAGGCCCATAAACCTGTTTGTAGTCTTCTTCTGTTTCCCTTCAAGTTTGTGTCATTAGAAACTGCAATTACTGTCTGCCCAAAGGAGCATACTTTTGAGGACATAAAATAAAATGAAGATACTGTGATCCCCTCTTTCTTTCTCTTGTCTCCTATTTCCATCCTCTCTTCTGCTGAGAAATGTAAAATCCAATGGCTGATTTAAGGAAAATCTATTAATGAAGAATATTTTTGCTAGTTTCCTCTTCTCTCCACATGGACTTTGTTTTAAAAGCAAAAAACAAAACAGAATTTTCAAAAAGCACAACTTTTTTTTAAAAAGGGGAAGTAAATGATTATTCTCAAAATTAAGCCATGGCCTTAATTACAAAGCATTTGCACAACAAAACAAAATACACCTTTTCCCCCCGCAATCACAACCAAAAAAACAATCAGTAAAGTAGATGTAATTATAAAATGTTTGCATTAATTATAAAGATATTTTGCATTTCTATAGCATCTTCCATCCAAGAAACTCCAAAGAATCATCCAATCCCTTGAAAAACATTTATGAATTAAGCCTCACACAATGCCCCTGTGATAGAGGTAAATAAGATTACCGAAAATATAAGATGTAATCAATTTTTACTCTTGGGTCACAAGTCTTCAAAATAAGACCTCATCTTCACTGCTTTTAAAAAAAATGTATATTTTTTTTTTACCTTGGAACAGCTAATGTGTGTGAATTATCCTGAGGCAAAAACACTGTGAAGACCAGGAACTTTAGTTTTACCATAAGGTAATCTCATGGAGGTAACCCCTGGAGGGGGTATAGCACTGTGTACTTTGCCTCATTTGCCTGATGGTAAAACTCAAGTGCCTGGTCTTCAGTGTGTTTTCACCTCAGGATAGCTTGTGCATGCTAGTTACCCCAAGGTTAAAAACAAAACAAAAAACACCCCTTTCACACACACACCCCAGACTATTTTTTTTTAAGCAGGAAAGACAAGGCTTAAGAGAGACTGGGAACTGCCAAAGCTATTGTGTCTGATTCTGTCCTAAATTGTGCCAAGAATCAAGAGGGATTCTCTGGGAATTACACTATTGCAAAACCAGTGAGAGATCAGAATCCGGCTGAGTTTTGAGGACTCTTCCTAGCATGCATCATGGTATATTCTGACCCCGTGAAGTAGGTGAAACAACCTACTGATGCCACTTTGTTGTCCTTTTTTTTTTTCACCACTCGCTGACAGTAAGTTAATAAACACATCATCATCAATTAAAGTCACATAATTTCTTGATGCTTTCTTCATAACTTAGTTAATTCATCTAGACTTCATTAACAGGCCAAAAAAACAAAAAATTAAGAGGAACATAAGTGGAATAAAGAGGTGACTATAGTCTGAAATAATTTTGAACTCCCCAAGTCATTCAGATCCTATGATGCCTTAGGATAGGATTCTGTCTTTGTCTTTAGTTTCCTGCATTTTTTTCCTCTCTTTTTCAGGAAATCGAATCTGCAATAATCAACAGATTAGCAAGTCAGCTTCCAACACTGCCTCACATTAAACCACCTGTCCAAGTTCCTTGTGGCATTTCTAGCCAGCTACTCACTTCAGGGAGCCCATTGCCAGTTTTTATGAAAGTTTGCAACTCTAGCCTCTCAGAGCTCTATAGGTACAGTCCCCCTACCTGATGGCTGCAGGAGGCTTGGAACCAAAAAGCCCCAGTAAAATGTGACTAGCAGCAACAGTGGGGACAAGTCTGCAACAGAGCTTCAAGGTTTCATGTAAAATGGATTTGGAAAGAACATCTAGATGCCTTGGGTCTTACAGTGCAACCAGCGTAAATGGATACATAGTATACAGATGCTCTTCAAGCTTCCCACCACTTGGCCACCCGAGAAGGATAAATCACTCAATACCTCAGAATCCCAGTTCGTGCTGATGGCTCACTGTGTCCGATGACTACTTGATGGAATGTAGCCGGCAGGCTTCCAAGCACTGATGTAATGTAAGAGGGCCCATGCATCGTTGAGGTGCTACTTCTCTGCATGCTGGGCATTAGTGAGGTGTTGACACCACTGCACTGCAGGTCAGCACCTTAGGAAGGCCTTGCTGCCACAGGTGCAAAGAGAGACAACAGAAGGAACATGGGCACTAAATTGTCAGAGCCTCAGTGGTGTACCAAGAAGGCCTCGCTCCTTTGCCTCCCTGTGCACCTAAGCACAGAGCCAGGAGAGTCTTTGCAGCTGCCAAGGCTCCTAGTGAATAAAAGAGTTCCTTCCAGCACATCAGGGAGCTGCACTGAGGAGCCTTTGTGGTGCCCAGACTGACACATGGAAGCAGAGGAATTCAGTAGCTGGAATTTGAGTTACTGACCCCCTCCAGGCATTGAAATGGTACTGTCACTTGGAAACACAGGCAGATGCTTTGCAGGTGGGGAAATTGAGGATGGAGAAATTGAAGTAATTTGTCCACAGTCAGAGAGAACTTCTATAGCAGGGCAAGAAATAGAACCCAGAGCTCTTGATACCTGGCTCTGTACCTAACCACAAGCACCATCATCCTCCCTTACTTTATACCCACCGTGGGCAAAGCTATAGTATAGGGTGACCAGATAGCAAATATGAAAAATCAGGATGGGGGTGGGGTAATAGGTGCCTATGTAAGACAAAGCTCCGAATATCGGGACTGTCCCTATAAAAATTGGGACATCTGGTCACCATACTATAGTATGACTTTATGCAAGCGTGTTTTCCTTCTTAGGACTACTTACTCCTCTTCCAGTTGTCTTAAATAAGCCCTGTGTAAAACCCTCTGATGTCCGTTTTACAAACTGCAGTGAAATCTAGCAGCAAGAAAAAAAGCCTCATTGCATGCATGCTTCCTTGTTGTGCACAAATATTTCAGCTCTGTCTTGATATTCTCAAAAAGGATTTTTGGGTTGCACCATATAACCGACAGCTGGGGATGCAGTCTTACTTCACCGCACAGGGATTTATGTACACAACTCCTGTTAACACAGTGTCTGCGCGTGCACATGTGCACACACAGAACTCATAGAACTGTGGGACTGGAAGGGACCTCTAGACATCATCTAGTATAGCCCCCTGCACTGAAGCAGGATTAAATACACTATAATTATTATAGCTGTTTGGTGCAGGATACATCAAACCTCTAAGGTGCCCGCAGCGTTCCAGGTGTACCGCGAATTGGAGGGAAGAACTGTTGTAGGCACTTCAGCAACTAGATCTTGTAGGCACTACAGTAACCACTCGCACACCTGGTTCAGTGAAATGATATTTTATTAGGGCTGGGAGGAAAGAGAAAGACTGCAGATACCCTCGGTACAGAGTCTTAAACAATTAAAGTTCAAGTGAGCCATAGGGGTTCTTGTTTGGGTCCCTGGGGCAGCCCAGTCAAGAATCAGGGCTCTTCAGGTCTAGTGCCAGGTGTGCCCTCTCTTATCCAGTCACTATCCCACCAAATAGGACCTTGTAGGTTTCCAGGCCAGGCTTCAAGTATCTCATTGGGACCCCAGTGCACCATCATTCACAACACTACCTAGACCTTCACTGATGGGGATTCCTTAGGTAACATATCCCAGCACCCAACTATCCCTATAGTTAGAAAGTATTTCCGAATATTTAATCTAAACCTCCTTTGCTTCAAATTAAGACAATTACTTCTTGTCCTGCAGGTTAGATCTTTTATGCAGTGAAAGACACTTCTGAAAATCCCAGCCTATATAATGTTATATAAAGTAGAAGACTATAAGGAATTAAATGCACACACAATACAAATGCACAGAGATACACACACATACTTATGAGATATTTTCTTTATATTCATGAAGGAATTCAAAATTTAAATTCCTCACCGAAGAGAGATGTACAGTCTCAACTATACCATCCGTTATACCTTTGTTTGACTCCTCTTAACTGCTATAATTTTTTCTTCTAACCCCTCTTTTGTTTGCTATCTCATTTCATCTGACATTATACTATCAATTTACTATATTACACGGATGGTTTTTCTCTTTAGTTCTCTTTATTTTCAGTGCTGCAAGCTTTTTGGTTAGATTTAGTTTACAACAATATATTTATTATACAATATGTCCCTAGCGAAAAAATAAATTAACAATTGCCTCATTGTTTGGAATAACGAATTCAACAATACTTCACCTTTGTTATTAAAGCAGCAAGAGTTATTTCTCCCTCTCCATGTCTATGAAGCAAATGTAAGAAAATCCTCCCACAAAAACATAATCCAGAACAAACAAAAAAACACCCAAACCATTGGGAAACTAAAAATCTTCTACCTCTTTAAATGCAGAAACTGTTTTATACCACTATTACTTACATTAGTGTGTGATGTTTAAAATTAATACTCATTTTGGGTCCAATCCTGCCATTCTTACTCAGACAAAACTCCCACTGCAGTCAGCAGGAGGGTTAAGGATTCCAGGGCTGTGCCATTGATACACACAATCTATATAATAATATTGAACATTCAGAACTTCAATAAAAAGCAAGCAGAGCGCTCAATCCTTCATAAACCAAACGTATGACATCACCTGTTGAATACGTGACTATGACCCAAAATGAAGTACACACACCCAAAACCAGATTGAGAAAGGGACGATAATGAGGGTTTTGTTTTTTTTTCTTCTATAGACTTCCATTATCTTTTGATTCAGGACTTTCACTTCTGATGTTAATTATTTGCAAGCAGGAAAAAATACAGAGGTGACACCA